GGATAGAGAGACCGGGATGGTTTTTAATGTGAAGACAACAACAACAACAACAACATCCCGACCGACAACCAACAACCAACGTGTGGAAAAGCAAACCCTTCANTCTTGTATTTTATCGCTCTGCTGACCCTTGGGGTCCATTTTATTTTGGTATACCTTTTCTAGGTACGTTAGCCTGTGACCACGGAAATTGGCCGAGTCAAGTGATGGATTAGTACGGAGAGATTGAGACAGAAGGAGGTACTGGATAGAGAGACCGGGATGGTTTTTAATGTGAAGACAACAACAACAACAACAACATCCCGACCGACAACCAACAACCAACGTGTGGAAAAGCAAACCCTTCACCATAGGGTTCGTCGGAGCCCTTGATGGGAGCGATACGTCAAGAACTCAGGTCGCACTCGCTGATTTTGTCCATCGAGGTGTCCACAACCCCCAAGTAAGATCAAGATCCAGTTTTCCATACACACGTACATGCAATAATCTTGATCTTGGGGGGGGGTCGCTTTTATCTTGTCAAGGTTTTGAAGAATCAAGATCAAGATTTGTTTGCCATAAACAGTGGTCTAAGCAGAGCCTACGCGTCAAGTCCATCACACCCATCCTGTACAATATCTATCTGCGTAACCCCCGGAGATCTCGGAGATCTGTATCCTGCCGAGTACATACACAAACACCCCAGAGCAACGGTTTCTAGTCGATGCCCTCGGGAGGATTTTTGTTTTTACATCCTCCGGGGGGGCGGATTTTCTCCCCTCCGAGTAATGTTTGGGTTTTCCCTCGGAGTATATTGTGCGCATAGACTATACGCTGGAGGATTAAATATCCTCCAGAGGATTTCAAATCCTCTGGAGGATTATTTTTCCTCAGAGGAATATGGGTGGGTAGCCATTTGTCTGTGTCCGACGTCGGCGGTGGGTTGCAGGAGGGGTCTTGCAGGAGGAGATCCACTTCAAACGAGAGTTCCGCCGTGTTAGCCGCGTGAGGTCCGCCACCGCCCGCCGTCGGAAGCGTCGGAACTCGAGTGCAGGGTGTTGGGTAAACCGGGTAGGGGAGGTCGACGCTTGAAGGTTTGTGGAGAAAGGCAGCTCGGCCGAGATGAGAAAGTCTTGTATTAGCAGGGAGAGGGGACAGCAGAGAACACTTGTGTCCGAGGACCCGAAGAGAAAAGCGGAATACTCATCCGTCACGCAATTCAGATCACTCAATGATCATCGAATCTCTGAAGACCCCAAGTAGAAACCCCCTGTTCCTCCGCAATCTACCAATTGCAATCTCCGTATATCCATGTCCCATATTCAACCATCTTTATTTACTATGCCACGAGTATATTAAGGAGAAATAAATACACGCACAGAAAGACTACCCATTCGAGATTTACTCACAGTCCAACGGGATGTGGTGGAGTCTTTTCAGTAAGTGGAGGAAAACCGGCTGGGTACTGGACTTATTTCGAGTCTATTAAGTCTATACACTGATGATTTATCAGTGATGCCAGCTGGTGCTAAGTACAAAAACATCTGTATAGGTAAATAATCTACATTTTACAATACATCCCCTGTAGTTCTCTACTGGGTCAACGACAAAGTATATCTAACAGCCCCCCTGCTCGTATGCATCGTAATTTATGATACGGCAAGTCAATATTAGACTATTCCATTTACCACCCAAAACGTGGATCCTACTCCTCCATGACAAACAAATAACCAAGAACTCGATTATGCAAATGTTTCTGAACCCACACAGTCTTGTCTCATCGCCTTCATTCCTTCTCTGCAAAACGCTCTTCTAGTTCTGGTCCATCCTTTCTCAGCACTTCGCCGCAACGGCACCCGCAGAGTACGTATGTCCTCCGCACAACTCAAAGCATTAAAAAATCCATTGAACCAAACCTATCTGTGGAACTCCACTTCATTTACTTTCATTTCAAACACGGATCAATTCGTAGAAAATCGCCTTCTTCGTTCTTCGTCTGATTACATCCATCCGACTACGAATCCTACCAAGACAAAACAAACTTTCGCATAGAACGAACATACACGTTTCATGCCCACTTCCCAGGTAAAACGCTTCTAGGCATGGTATGAATCCTCCACTCTTCGCACTTTTCCGATCAAACAACATAGTCTACATCCCCAAGCATTCGTTCAGCGTTGAGATCATTTGATTTTCGAGCAGAAAATACGCGAGTATGTTTCCTTTGTATTGTTTCTCCCCAGAAACTTCGCACAAGCTAGAATTCCTTCCGAAAGTACAACGTGCCCCCCTGCCCTGGGAGATCCGCCCCCCTGATTTTAAAAGGGGTCGGAGATCTGAACCACAGGCCAAAACAACAAAATTCGATATTCGTCCGAAACCCAAGAAAAACAATCCTGCTGCTGCAAATAAATCCCGACGAAACACCAAAACCAAATCAAATCCAATGCCGAACCAACGTTCGCCAATCCGAATGATAGAAACCAATCCAATACCAAGGCGAAAATCCAATCCATTGCATCAAAACAAAACATTCGAAAATCCTCCAATTCCATACCAAAACAGTAACACTCGAAACCCCTGCATTTGCCGGCGAATCAACCTCCCGCGCTTAACCAATTGCCTGAGCCGTTGTTTCGCACCCACCCAGCGGATATTTCGCACGCCTTCGTCACGGTCGACTTTCGCCTTTCATCTTTTCCGGCTAGCCGCGACTCGTGCTTGGATGTTTGCGTCCGCCTGGAGTGGGGGAGAAACATTTGTCGCTCCCGGAGGATTGACTTGGCGGTGGTGCAGGGCAGGTCGCGCGTTTGGAGGGGAAGATGGCGGCAGATTAGTTCCGAACAAACCAGCACTACTGAGGAGAATCACATACTACCAACATTCCCCCCGGTTCTGCACAATAGTGACTGCAGCAGAAAAAGCAACAAATGAAACACACTTTCAAGTCGTCGGACCCTACTTGTGGAATGGTTTGACTGAAATTACCCATCACTGCGACATTGCAACTCAATGAATAGCTGCATATCATCCTGAAACGGAGGTTATCAGTCCTCGATCACAAACCGTTTGGGGTGCTCGGCAGAGTATACTGTCTACGGGGCCTCCGGGGGGTACGCGGATGGAATGTATTGACGGAAATGCTGCATGGCGATGATGTGGCCTACCGCATGTCTCTCACTCTCTAACNAATGGTGGATGATTTATTGTTAGGATAGGGGTTTTGGTTTTTCTGTCTGCCGTTTTGTCTGGCAATGATAGTCGTGTCGGGGATTTCGTAGATAGTATCTCGTACCGAGCAGGGGGGCTGTTTGGGGTGCTCGGCAGAGTATACTGTCTACGGGGCCTCCGGGGGGTACGCGGATGGAATGTATTGACAGACATGCTGCATGGCGATGGTGTGGCCTACCGCATGTCTCTTACTCTCTAAGCAACAAGGTCTTGAGTCAACCTTCTTTCTCTTTCGGCCTCTGACGAGCTACCGCACCCAAACACAATATATTGTAAGGCCTGGTGTTAGTAGTGGGTATTGGCGTCTGAGCGGTGGGAGCTGGGCCATCGGGGCAGCGGACACCATTTTCATAGCTGGGATCGCGGCCAAAGGGGGCGAGGACAGCAGTGCATAGCTCGTGCGGTGGCCATTGCGGGGACCGGGAAAGCAGGGTTTAAAGCTGGGACAGCACTTCGAGGCTGGGACAGCAGGGAGGGTTTAGAGTTTTAGTTTGAAATGTCTGGAACGGAGGACGACGCAACTCTGAGCGCGAGGTTGGATGAGGCGCTACGAGCTATCGATGTTGCCAAGGCTGATACGAAGGAGGCCAAGGCTGGGACGAAGGAGGCCAAAGCTGAGACGGAGGAGCTTAGGGCAGCACAGCGGCGGTCGGTCGGCGGGTGCACCTGCCGGCAGCAGCTCAGGAGGCGACGGTCTAGTTGCTCGTGGAGGGGCTTTATCTGCACCGGTGAGGCCAATGTGGCCAGGCGGGGTCAGTCATGATGGCGGTACTGGGGTGCCGGGTTTGCCTCTGGGAGGTACAATTGTCAGAACTCCTGTGCCTTGAATCCCGTCTACTTGCACCGCCGACACCTTTCTCAGTTGGCGGAGACGCTTTCTGGCCTACGTGGACAACCATAATCTCCAGCACACAATCTTCGGCAGTGCTGAGGTTCCCGTTGTCAGTTGTCAGGATGAAGGATACTTGACACGCCAGTATGGTGCACAGATGGTTGTTGAGCACAAGAGGACATGGAGTTGTATCTTGGAGGCAGCGGTGGGGGCCCCATTTGAGAACAACCTGTACTCTTGCCATTCCGTGGCAGAGGCGTGGAGGATGATGGAGGATTGGTATTTGCCGAACCACCCAGCTGATTGTCAGCTCCTCGTCGCCGAGCTAGATAATATAACCATGAGTGATGATGAGGACCCCAAGCTTTTCTTCTCGCGCGTCGCACAACTGGAGACCAAGTTACGGGCTGTGGGCATTGCTAAGAGTGACCAGGAAGTTGTGCAGATCCTTGTTCGCCAACTTCCCACACGCTACGATGTCGAGAAGCGCACTAGTCTTTCCAAGCGTGATTTAACCCGCGCTGAGTTGCAGGACGTCGTGCGTGGTCGATATGCCACGCTCAAGGCCAGCGAGATGAGGGAGCGAGGGTCGGCAGCTTTGACGCCGGCGGTTTCTGTCAACCCCCATGCTCTTGTTGTGGGCCGTGGTTTTGGACACGGCGGCAACGGGGGGAGCGGGGGGGGCGGAGGCNCAAGCGTGATTTAACCCGCGCCGAGTTGCAGGACGTCGTGCGTGGTCGATACGCCACGCTCAAGGCCAGCGAGATGAGGGAGCGAGGGTCGGCAGCTTTGACGCCGGCGGTTTCTGTCAACCCCCATGCTCTTGTTGTGGGCCGTGGTTTTGGACACGGCGGCAACGGGGGGAGCGGGGGGGGCGGAGGCCAACGGCGGAATGGCAACAACGGCGACGGCCGCGGGCAACACTGGTCCTCTGGGGGCGGTGTTGTCCAACAGCAACAGCCGCAGTTGCAGGTGCAGCAGTACCGGCAGCCGCAACAGCCGCAGCGGCACATGCAACAGCCGAACCAACAGCCGCAGCGGCAGGTGCAACAGTCGTACCCACAGCCGCAGCAGCAGATGCGACAGCAGCAGCCGTATCAACAGCAGTCGCAGATGCAGCCGTACCGGCAGTCGCAGCAGCAGCCGCAGCAGCAGCGGCAGCAGCAACAGTCCGCTTTGAAAGGTGTTGGTGGCATCTACGATTGCGGTAGTAATGCCGTGTATCATCAGCCGGAATCACTACCTCCACCTGGCGCGCCGATGGGCACAGTGCACAGATGCGGCCGCTGTGGAAGGCACGGTCACCACGCCATAGATTGCGCCGCCCCCCGCAGGTTCGAGGGCACGTGCGGTGCATGCGGCCAGTACGGTCACATGTGGCGCAACTGTGCCAAGAGCAACCGGCACCCCCACCTCAACGTCGTCACTTCTGCTGGTGCCCTCGGTCCGGAGTACGCGTACACCTCAGCGCTCGGTCCCCAAGGTCATCTCCCCCTCCCGCCGGACGACGCGGCCTCTTGAGCGTGTCGCGATGGACCTAGCCGGTCCGTTCGGCCAATCCAGCGGCGGTGCTAAGTACGTGATGCAGATCCTGGACCACCATACCAACTATGGATGGATCTGCTTTCTGCCGGAGAATAGCGGTACAAACGTGGTGGCGGCCTTTCGTGCTTGGTATGCCTCCATCAAATCGCTCTTGGCTACTCACGGGGGGCTGGGCTGTGTT